ATATACACCATGGAATACTATGCAGCCATAAAAAAGGATGAGTTCATGTCCTTTGTAGGGACATGGACAAAGCTGGAAACCATCACTCTCAGCAAACTATCACAAGGATAGAAAACCAAACACCGCATGTTCTCACCCACAGGTGGGAACTGAACAATGAGATCAGTTGGACACAAAGTGGGGAACATCACACAACGGGGCCTGTTGGGGGTTTGGGGGCTGGGGTAGGGATAGCACTACGAGAAATACCTAATGTAAATGATGAGTTAATGGGTGCAGCAAACAAACATGGCTCATGTATATGTATGTATCAAACCTGCACGTTGTGCACCTGTACCCTAGAACTTAAAAGTATAATACCAAAAAAAATTAAATAAATATATATATACACCTACAATGTGCCCACAAAAATAAAAAATAAAATAAAAATGATAGACAAAGCAACAGAAATAAACAGCTGTGAAGCAGAGAGCTTAATATTTAATAAAGGAAGTATCAAATCAATGGCAAAGGTATAGTTTATTCAACAAATTATTAAAATAGACTGTTTTTCAACATCCAAACTAGTTCCAGTTATCATTCCACAAATCAGAATATATTTCAAAATGAATACAGAATTAAATGTAAAATAATTACCACCTCAATCAAATAAAGATCTAGAAGGAAAGGCTGGGCGCGATGGCGCATGCCTGTAATCCCAGCACTTTGGGAGACTGAGGCAGGCAAATCACCTGAGGCTAGGAGTACAAGACTAACCTAGCCAACATGGCAAAACGCTGTCTCTTACACTAAAAGTACAAAATTAGCCAGGTGTGATGTGTGGTCAGAAGGCTGAGGCACATGAATCACTTGAACCTGGGAGGTGGAGACTGCAGTCAGCTGAGGTTGTGCCATTGCACTCCCACCTAGGCAACAGAAGACTCCGTCTCAAACAAAACAAAACAAAACAAAACAAACAAATAAACAAAAACAACTAGAAAGAAATAAGGAAATGTACTAGAATATTTAACTGATTTCAAGACAAAACGTTTAAGCACAACAAATAATTCAAGAAATCCAAAGAAAGAAATTGAGAGAAATGATACATAAAATGAAAAAATATGTGTGTTAAATGATCTGAAGTTGAAAACTGAAAACTAAACAACTAACCAGGAAAGCTCCCACAAATAGCACAAAAGTTAATCTCTCTCACACACACACACACACACACACACACACGGAGAGTTCTTACAATTAAGAAAAATTCTTAAATTGAAAACTAGAAAAAGAACACCAACAGATAATTTGAAAACACATGAAAATTTCATACAAATATATGGAAAATATTAACATCACTAGCAAAAAAGAAAAAAAATTAAAGCGGTACCATGATCTGCTTCTCAAGCTATAAAGGTTAAAAAAGGGTGATTAGTATCCGGTGCTGGCCAGCTTGAAGTTATACAGGTGCTGTTATAAAATGTTGGTGAAATTACAAATTATTACTTAATAGAAGCAATTTCACAATAAACATGGCATGAACTATCCTGATACGATTGACCTCAATAATTCTATTGCTAGGACTCTATCATGTGGCAAGAAATTAAAAACAACTTAAATGTCCAACAATCATAAAACTTGGCATCATAAAAGATTATTTTTAGGCTGGGCGCAGTGGCTCACACCTGTAATCCCAGCACTTTGGGAGGCCAAGGCGGGTGGATCACGAGGTCAGGCGATCAAGACCATCCTGGCTAACATGGTGAAACCCCATTTCTACTAAAAATACAAAAACAAAATTAGCTGGGCGTGGTGGTGGGCATGTGCCTATAGTCCCAGCTACTCAGGAGGCTGAGACGGGAGACTGGTGTGAACCTGGGAGGCGGAGGTTGCAGTGAGCCGAGATCTCTCCACTGCACTTCAGCCTGAGCGACACAGCAACACTGTGTCTAAAAAAAAAAAAAAAAAAAAAAAGATTATTTTTGAAGGATATCTAAATGACTGAGGAAATGCTCACAATATAATACAACACAAAAAAACAAACAAAAAACTTGGTAATATCCCTATGATTCCAGTTCTGTAAAAAAAAAAAAGGTAGTACAGTGTTATATAGATTATATTTTTGTTTTATATTTTCCGTAATAACCAAATAATTATTCTAAGATCATTTTGAGAAAAGCTAAAAACAACAACCAAAACCAGTTAGAAATTACAGGAAGTGAGTAAAGATTATATTTCTCTATACATTTGGCAGTAAAAGGAATGAGAGATCTGGATAGGACTATAGCTGGAAAGTAGAGTAACTGAGGAAAGTTTTGTTTTATGCTTTGTTTTGTTTAAAGGCAGATAACAAACATGTTTATTAAGAGGAACAAGAAGAAATATAACATAAAGAGGAGATAACTTTTTGAAGACGATCCTAAAGCAGGCAGAGATGGCAGAAAGCAGAAATACAAACAGATTTTTTAAAAAGGCTTTTCTCAAACTGAAGGTGAGCAAGAAAAGATGGCTCAATACAGAAATTTTAAAGAAGAGAGGAGGAAGATAAAGAATTGTTTGATGTGGGAATGGTCTGAATCATCTTATATTCACTATGCATTCCTATGGGTAGCTTTTTTCAAACCTGCTTCCCAATCTGTCAAAATCACTGGATTTAATTAATGAGAGATGTGACTAAGGTTTGTCTAAATATGGGAAAAACCAAAGGACATTTTACAGGTCCAATTAGTTTTCTGTGGTTCAAAAGATGATTATGAAATGCATAAAAAAGGCATAAACAAGCCGGGCGCGAAGGCTCATGCCTGTAATCCCAGCACTTTGGGAGGCTGAGGCGGGCAGATCACGAGGTCAGGAGATCGAGACCATTCTAGCTAACACGGTGAAACCCCGTCTCCACTAAAAAATACAAAAAAAAAAAATTAGCCGGACACGGTAGCGGGTGCCTGTAGTCCCAGCTACTCCGGAGGCTGAGCCGAGATCATGCCACTGCACTCTGGCCTGGGCGGCAGTGGGAAACTTTGTCTCAAAAAAAAAAAAAAAAAGAGGCATAAACAATTCAAAGATACCTAACATTCTATGCAGTCCTAAATTTTTCTTAAAAAATTATTGCTCAGAAAGTTATAAATCAATAACATAGTATTATACACTATTTAAAATAATATTCACAGTATTATTCTAAACAGAGAAATACCTGAGAGTTGCTAGTTATGTGAAGATTTTCCAACAACTTACCACTGCCTTGAATCCAAGTTTCTAAGTTCTCTAAGTAGCTTTTCATTTTTCTTCAGGAGATGAAAGCTCCTCCTAAATAGAGAGATTTATAAACATTTTCATCACCTTTGCAGTGAATGACATGACAGTCCCGGAAATACTTTCCACTCTACTCATGCAACTTTTATACTTTTCTTGCCTTTTCATACTTCTAACACAAAGGAGAACAGACCCTAAAAAAAACGTAAAGAATATATGTCATTATTTCCACCAGGCCTTCATACATTTCTGCTAGTGGATCATATCAATTGGCCACTTCAATCTTTCCTTGCAGATGCTGTGAGCCTCCTAAACTCATATCTAGGAAAATGGATAAAAGTACTTTATAGGTTCTTTTCAAGAGTCTCATAAAAATGTGAGAAAGTTGTACCTCATGAGAAATAAAATATTCACAGAATCTAAATCATTACCAAGTAAGCAAGTGTAATCCAGATGGAATTTTCTTTCTTCCTTGTTTTATAATTTTTAGACTACAAAGCAGTGAATAATTTTACCAAATCCCTTCCGTGGGTGCTAAATATGTACAAATTATTTTCATAAAATCAATGCTTGCTGAAGTAAAATACAGCTTCTCATCTTTAATTTTTCCCAAGGGACAACATATGGACCATTCTACAGCAAAACAGAGTAGAATGAATTTATACGATAACTGAGTGGCAATTACCTATATTTGGTCATACCATATGGCAAACCGTTCCTGAGATATAACGTTTCCTATAAGGCAGAGGATATTCTTCTCTTCTAATAAATGGCTTCCCTATATTCCTTACTCCCTTCTAATAAGAGGCTTTCCTATAAGGCAGAGGATATTCCCTTCTAATAAGTGGAAGAGTTTAAATCAAGCAAGAGTATAAATACTAAGTAAACAAGCAGAACTCTATTTCAATGCTTGATATGCATTTGAATTACTTTAAGATTTATTCGTTCATTGATATCTGAGCTTCCCCTCCTACCATAAACTGACGGAGACAATACATTACCACTCCTTCCACTACCTACAGGGTTGTGTGACATAGGAATTAAAACCTAAATGTATGTTAATAATGCTCTACATTAGTGTACAATGCCAGTGTTTTATGTACATTATCTAATTTAATTATTCCCAGTATGTGAGGTGGGAACTACTCTCAATTTGTAGACTGCAGCCTGAGGCTCAAAAGTTAAGTAACTTTAAGCTAGGTCTTCTGATTTAAGCCTATTGTTCTTTTCATTTAGCTCCTACCTAACTTACTTGAATACCTCATGAGTTTATTGTAAGTTTTTAATAAGGTTTTGTAACATGCATCAGAAAAAAAAAATTTTTTTTAACTTCAGATTCTTTTTTTGATTTGATCTTGAATCTTGAGTTAATTTCCCTGATTCAAACTGGAAATAATCATATTGCGGTTTCTAAAAAAAAATTATTAGGCTTACAGGAAGGTTGAAAAATGAGCCATAATTTCTAAGTCAAATAGTTCTAGTAGTCATTTTGAAAATATTGATAATTTGCTGGATTATTTTATTCCTCTGAATCCCAATACAACTCAGTGGCCTCAAAAAAAAAAAAAAACTGCAAAAAAATGAGTCAAAGAACTAATTGGTAGATACAATTTAGTGAGGAAAAGAACAGAAAATAAAATGCTTCATCAGAAGATGAATAAGACCGAAAAAAAAAAAAAAAAAAGAAAAAATTTCTCCCTTATGCTTACCGTTTGTCCCAGGAATTCATTCCCAATATACTAAGAAGCAATCTGCAATAATAAAATGCTGACTGAGGTTTCTGAGGTATTGGTTCATCTTGTTCCACAGCTTTCATGTTTAAGTCATTAAAGTGCTTCTCAACAAATTCTTTTTCTTCTGTATGTTGCTTAAGGATAGCATTAATAACATCATTTTCTTGTTTTTCAGAAATGCACACAGGTTGTGGAGCAGGAATATTAAGTGAGATTCCAGTTCTCTGTAAGCATTCAGGACTAGTAACACCCAAATACTGCAAGAGCTCATCAAGAACATCTTCTTCATCTCTTATTGTATCCCAAGTTGGTACAGTTTCTCTAAATCTTTTAAACTGGAGAGAAAGTCCATCTTTTACTGTTGTATCTTCTAAGCATTCATTAGATGTTGGAGGCTCTTCTGGATTCTCTTGGTGAGACAACGAAAGCATCAAAGATGTAGGTTCTGACAAGCCACTTACAGGAGGTGGGCCATACAGTATAGCAGAATCCCATGAATATTTTCCAGAGAGATCACGTACTATGATTCTGACATTTGAATTGGCTGATGCAAGGCCAGCAGATAAACCTCCTCCAGGCATATTCTCTTCTGATCTGATCTGGATACAGGACACTAAGGTTGTATTATTTAACACAAAGAACTGGATATTTGGACTCTCAAAGAGTTCAGGAGAAAGTTCAGTACTTTCACTGTAATGGTTGTCGTGATTTTCACACACCTGACTTGTTAGCATAGCAGGACCACCACTCATTGGATAATGGCCCAGGTGATTTACCAGATGTGTAATAACAGTGCGGGCTGCTATAGAGATTAATCCATGCTGCATTTGAGTTTTCACTGGAAATAAAAAATATAAATGAATGGGAATATTGCTGCTTCCTAGGGAATCATATGACAATGAAACATTAGACAACAAACAGGAATTTTATCACATTGTTAATATTTCCAATTTAGATTCCGTATCACAGTAGTGATGGTAAAAAAAGGAGGAAAACCATTCTTTGATGAAGTTTTGTTTATAAGGAAGCCCTTTCTGAAATTTTTGCTAATGGGTCCATAATTTAAACCAAGGCCCTTATATATGGATCACTTTTGAAGAATCAGAAGTATTATAAACCAATCATGAAATCCCTAATGCACATTAAAAAGCCAAAGACGGCCAGGCGCTGTAACACATGTCTGTAATCTCAGCACTTTGGGAGGCTGAGGTGGGAGGATTGCTTGAGCCTAGGAGCTTGAGACCAGCCTGGGCAACATAGGGAGACTATGTCTCTATAAATAAAAATAATAATAGTAATACTAAAATTAGCCCAGCGTGGTGGCCGCTGCACTCCAGCCCAGGTATCAAAGCAAGACCATGTCTCCAACAACAACAAAACAAAACAAAATCAAAAACAAAAACACAATGAAATCTGTTCAACTGATAAGTTTCTTATCTCCATTAATAGATTCCAGATTCAGAGACAGTTTGTAGATGCCTTAAATGTCATTTAAATCTGACTTTCACAGATAATGTAAAAATGTTTCAGAAAAGGTGACATTCCAAGTAAACTCTGGGAATCAGAATAAATTTAAACAGCAAGTCAGTATAGCCAGTACCTGTATGCACAAGAGATTTTATTTTAAAAACAAAAATATTTGCTGGACCTACTTATATTTTTCTAAGGTATTCTTCAGGGTCAATGTGGTATAGTCTAGCAGTCAGTTATATGCAAGAAATATTTTTTTTCCTCAAGTACAATAGGGAGGAAAGAGGTAAGAAGCATATTCATACAAATAACTAAAAAATCATAGGAAACAGTCGAAAGAGAAAACTCAAAGAATATTAGTAGTTTAAGAGGCTTGGAAAGGCAAGATGCCCAATGTCAGAATCTGAAGAAGGAGGAAAAAGGAGGGGAGGGGGAGAAGGAAGACAGGGAACACAGAGAGAGTAATGGGGGAAAGGAGAAAGGAGATAGACAATAATTTGTCAAAGCCAACTAGTTAAAGACTGCCAATCTAAGGAGGGCTAAAGACTGTGATTCTGAGGGGTGTTGATGTGCAAGCCAGTTTGGGATTGAGTGGTGTCAGGAAGTGGGGACAACTAGTTGACTGTTGCCTTAATGCGTTTCATCTAACAGGTAGGAGGAGAGTTGTCTTTGGTAAAGAAGCATTAGTCATTCATGTTAGGATGTTTAGGTAGGGGTGTGTGTGTGTGTGTGTGTGTTTAAAACATTCTTGTCTCTACTTAATTTTAGACGTAATTACAGAGTGATTGTGTCTCTGTATTATTCTACCACAGTAACAGAGTGATCTTGTCTGAGTATTTATATTCTCTGACAGTTAATCAGTTGGGAACACTAGGGCCTGTCAGAACAAATAAGGATTTGTCACAATAAACACAGATTTTTAAAATTTTTTATTTTTTTATTTTTCAGATGGAATCTCACTCTGCCTCCCAGGCTGGAGTGCAGTGGCGTGATCTTGGCTCACTACAATCTCCGCCTCCCAGGTTCAAGTGATTCTCCTGCTCAGCCTGCCGAGCAGCCTGGGACTACAGGCGCAAGCTGCCACACCCAGCTAATTTTTGTATTTTTAGTAGAGGCAGGGTTTCACCATATTGGCCAGCCTGGTCTTGAACTCTTGACCTCGTGATCCCCCACCTCGGCCTCCCAAAATGCTGGGATTACAGGTGTGAGCCACTGAGCCGGGCCAGATACAGATTTAAGAATGTTCTGATTTACATACATGCCCAATTTTATGTGTTTAGTTTGATGACTTTTGGTAATTGTATATAATTGTGTTACCACCAACATAATCAATATGAAAAATTCCCTCACCAAAAAAGAATTTTTATTTTATGTAAACTATACCTCAATAAAGAAAAAAATTCCTTCATCAAAAAAGAATATTTTATTTTATGTAAAGTATACCTCAATAAACCTAACTCAAAAAAAAAAGGGAGACCAGTTTGTGCATTGATGGTATAATCACTTTAAAAGAGGCAAGAGAAAAGAATAGTCTTACATTTTCAAGGCTTTAGCCTTCAAGATTCAGAACCAATACCACTGGGTATAGGCAAACCAACCAACCAGCTCCTATGCCATTAATGTTAATACCATCTTCCCCAATTCCAAAAAAGAATAGTTTCCTTTGGGCTTTGGTTGCTTTTAAAATGTCAGAGTATCAAAATTTTAATTTCCCATTATCAACCAAGTTATATCTACATACATGTAAATATAAACATTTCTTAGTTTATTTATTGGTTTTTGTTTGACACAGAGTCTTGCTGTGTCACCCAGGCTGGAGTGCAGTGGCACGATCTCGGTTCACTGCAGCCTCTGCCTCCTGAGTTCAAGCAATTCTCATGCCTCAGCTTCCCAAATAGCTGGTATTACAAGCATGTGCGACCACGTCTGGATAATTTTTGTATTAGAGAAGAGGCTTCACCATGTTGGCCAGGCTGGTCTTGAACTCTTGACCCCAAGTGATCCACTAGCCAGGGCCTCCCAAAGTGCTGGGATTACAGATGTGAGCGACGCACCCGGCCAAACATTTCTTAGTTTAAAAGTTCCAATTAATGGCTGGGTATGGTGGCTCACACCTGTAATCCTAGCACTTTGGGAGGCCGAGGCGGGCCAATCACCTGAGGTCAGTAGTTTTGAGACCAGCCTGGCCAACATGGTGATACCGTGTCTCTACCAAAAAATACAAAAATTAGCTGGGTGTGGTGGTGCCCACCTGTAGTCCCCGCTACTCGGGAGGCTGAGGCAGGAGAATCACTTGAACCTGGCAGGCGGAGGTTGCAGTGAACTGAGATCACGCCATTGCACTCTAGCCTACCCATAAGAGTGAGGCTCTGTCTTAAAAAAGTAAAAAATAAAATAAATAAATAAAAGTTCCAATTATATTGAAATTTTTAAAAATTATTTTTATGATTGTTACTAATAACCAGCCATTCAACACTAGATTAATAACACTAAATGATTAACACTAATTCAATCCTTTGTTTTTAAGAATGTAAGCAAAGTAAAAAGTATTTTGAGCTATATGACAAGAAACAGCTTGAATCTAGTGTTTGCTTTCCCTTCCCTAATTGTAACCTAGAATATAAAAAAAGTTCACACTATAAGGGGATAATTTAGCTGGTAGTCCTCATTTTGCACATGAGGACAAATGGGTTTGCAAAGTTAAGTGATTTGTCTACCATAGGAGATGTCTTTTGCTTCCCAGCTCAGTGTTATTTCCCTCTTTACCACAGGTCTAATTTCCATACTTTTTTTCTCTTTTGTTAAACTGTCTTTTTCTTTGTGAGATATGGAAACAATGAATTCAAAATTTATTTTTCTCTGTGTATAAGAACTTCAAAAAAGTATTACTTAGCATAAATTACTAAATAAAAAGCAAAGATCAATGGAAAAAAATCAAAACTAAATCGAATTTTAAATGGTAACAAAAATTACAACTAGTCATTTTTAAATTTTTAATATAGAAAAAGATTTTTCTATTCTTCACTCTCCCTTCTGAGTGATATACTTAAATAGATGACTCATTTTAAGCATTAAATCCTCTTTGCATAACATAGAAGTTTACATTCTGAAGAAGGGAAAGAACATAATTTAAAAGAAACAACCATAGAAAAGAGAAGAATCCCTGGCTTTGGCTTGCTCTGTGATTCATGATCACAAATACATAAGATTCCTTAAACTCCATTTTTCTGTAAGAATTGCATACTTATTTGTAAAGATGAGTTAAAAACTCTTACATACAAAACTGGAAATAACAGAAACAATAAAAAATCATTCAATTTAAAGAGCATTATAAGTAACATAGGTCTTATGAGTTTCTTTTTCAAACCTACTTATAAATAAACTCCAAGAATGAGCCAGGTCTTTCCCTAAAACATAAACCTCCAAGCCCAAGTACCAGTCCATCCCATATATCTTCTTCCCAAAGGTAGAGACAGTGAGTATGCAGTTTAAATGAGCTTTTTCACAAGTCTGTCATAATTACCCACATTGAAAACATGAAAAGAATAAATTTAAATCTCAGATATAGGTAAAGCATTTTCTGCCCTAAGTTGCTTCTCTAAATTCAGGATATATGTCTATATATAAATGTATAAAAAACTCTCAAATTGTTAACTGGGCACTAAATTTATTTATACTTATTTTTGAGCTATAAACTATACAACATACATATCTCTTTTCTACTTATCTACTAAGATATAAAGAAGACATGAATTTATCTAGTTTAGATATTTAAAATAAAATTCTAAAATAACCAGTCTTGTGAGAAAATGTAAAATGGAGATATCAATGCTTCTAAGGCTTTGTGTAAGTCTATTCAGGGTTGTCTTTTCAGATTGTCAGATTAAACAAACCCTACAGCATTTGCAGCAAACCCATAATTACAGGTTATTATGGCATACAAAAGCAGCAAGACATAAAAAGCTGCTGCAATTCACTGCACTGTAATAGAACACGCAGAGGAAGTTAATTTTGGCAAATGCTTTAAATATTAGCTTTGCATAATAAGTATAGGTGAAACTATAATTAGGACAGAATGAATCCTTTGGAGCCTCCTTTCACTCTGACCCGGCAAATGATGACTTTTTGCTAATAAGACTACTGCCATTTGACAAAAAGCCAACTTCACTACCTTGCTTTATTCTTTAGTAAATTTAATAATTACAGATACTCCTGCCAATAGTTCTCAAATCAGACTTGTTCAATCCAATACTGAGCTTATTAGCGACACTCAATGTTTAGAATTCTTTGGCCAAAAAAGTACTTGAAGATGATGAAACATGCCTTAGACAAGGGCACAATGATCACTCATTTTTGCCACATTAAAAAACACCCAGAGCATGTAGTCACTACAGACCAGAGAATTATGTGCTGTTAGCTCACAGCTGTTCCTAAAAGGTTCTGCACTTATCTGGTCCGTAAAACCTTTGAGGAAGTCCAAAGGGAACAACTTGATACATTTAGAGAAGGGCACTGCACAGAGTATTTGATATCAATATTAAGCTAATCTATTCACATATTTTCCTTTGTTTCTTTTACAGTGACTGTTTGATATTGGTATGGTAAGTTTTGCACAAAATCTAAAATTAAAACTTTCTTTGACCTAAGCAAACTCTATTGCTTTGTTCAAGAAACATACTCTACTGTCTTGAATAAAAACTGCCATTTTATACCTTAAATGTGCAGAGGTCAACTAGTATTTTCACATAACCATATTTTAAAGTAAAATAAACACAGTATCTTATTATGTTAAATCTAAAAATATAATTTTAAATTGCTTATATAAACTTTGTCTTTTTTTTTTTTTGCTTTATACTGCTTGTTATACCTCTTTTATATTTGAGAAACAATTTAAATCTTAAATTCCTATTTCATAGGGTATTTATGTTCCAGACAAACTATCTGTACCTTATGGTCAAACCAAAACCCTAGCTCAACTTTCTTGGCCTCTAAGTTCATACTTTCACTTTCATTGTATGCCATCAATCCATTATCATGGACACATCTTAGATGTTTTATTCATTTGTATCTATTCTACCTTTAAAAATCAAACTTTTCCTTACTAGCCCACTCTTTGACCACAACCTCCTAGTGTAGTGACTTCCCAATTGTGTTTTGTAAAGTTCTTGGGGAAGGCCCTTAGAGATGGACAGGAAAGAAACTGGTAGTACCCCACGCCTCCACTCTGCTGTGGTTCTATTTTTTAAAGTTTTCCAAACTGAGCTTCCTTATAAAATTTATTTGAAGAGGTTCTGCTACCTAAAAAAAGTTTTAAAAATAACTGTCCTAATATACCAATGATGCTCTCAGTGGTTCTCAACTGTGGCTGCATATTAGTCACATGCAGAGCTTTAAACAATCTCAGCAAATCCCAGATTAATATATCAAAATCTCTATGGATGGGACTGGAACATCAGTATTCTAATATGCAGCCAAGGCTGACAACCACTGCTCTAACTTCTTATTACCAACCATATCTACTTTATGACTCTCTAGATCACTCTATTTTCTCCCAACTTAAAGCTAACCACTTCCTGGCAGCAGTTTGATCCTTATCAAGCCTAGGTTCCATGGCTAAGCTGTATACCAATATTCTCAAATCCACAGTTCCTCTGTATTTCTCTGCCACACCCATCTTACTAATTGTTGATAGGTGCAACCAAAACTTTGTGAGTTTTGTTTTCTCTTAGGCCCTCAGTAACTTCTGTCAATTATCTTAATTACTTAAATCTTCTTCTTCTTTCTGGTCTGGGAAGAAGGGCTAATCCTAGCACCTATACTTTCTAGCTCATCCCCTCACGGACTTCACTCTATTAATGATACCCTTCCCACTTACTTTCTTCTCAGCTTATAAATAAGTTCAACTCTCTTCATTCCTAAAACTTTTAACCCTAAATCATCCTTTAGCTTATCAACCGTTTTATTGCATTTTTGTTTCCTTTATTTACTTATTTTTAAAGTCAAGCTTCTTTAAAGAATACTTTCCATGGATGACTCCACTGTCTTTATTTATTTATTTATTTTTAAAGCCGGAGTTTCACTCTTGTTGCCCAGGCTGGAGTGCAATGGTGTGACCTCGGCTCACGGCAACCTCCCCCTCCCAGTTCAAGTGATTCTCCTGCCTCAGCCTCCTGAGTAGCGGGGATTACAGGCATGCGCCACCACGCCCTGCTAATTTTGTGTTTTTAGTAGAGATGGGGTTTCACCATGCTGGTCAGGTTGGTCTGGAACTCCCGAACTCGCGTGATTCACCTGCCTCAGCCTCCCAAAGTGCTGGGATTAGAGGCGTGAGCCACTGCAGCCAGCCAACTCCACTGTCTTATTTCCTGCTTGCTCATCAAACCACAGCCATCTGACTCTGCCTACTTCTCTGGTGAAATAAAGCTGATACATTTGTCATTACCTTTGTACTTGGTCTATCATTTAACACTGTTGGCTAACCTTTTAAAAGCTTTCTCGGCCGGACGTGGTGGCTAACGCCTGTAATCCCAACATTTTGGGAGGCTGAGGCAGGCGAATCACGAGGTCAGGAGTTCGAGACCAGCATGGCCAATATGGTGAAACCTGGTCTCTACCAAAAATAAAAAAAATTAGTTGGGCGCAGGGGCGCATGCCTGTAGTCCCAGCTACTTGGGAGGCTGAGGCAGGAGAATCACTTGAACTCAGGAAGCAGAAGTTGCAGGGAGATGAGATGGCGCCACTGCATTCCAGTCTGGGTGACACAGTGAGATTCCATCTCAAAAACAAAACAAAACAAAACAAAAAACAAACAAACAAAAAAACTTCTCTTGGTTTCTGAGAAATTACTCTCTACTGATTTTCCTTCCTTTCCAATGTTTTCTTCTCAGAACCCACACATGTAAATATATATTCCTAACAAAGATCTCTCTAAGATCTAGATTTGTATATACAACTAACTGTCCATTAGATGTTTTCACATGAATATCTAGTAGGTCCCCCACACTAAACCATTTCCAACTGTCCTACTAATTTTCCCTCCCAAATCTGTACTTTCTCTAATATTCTTACTCTAGTAAGATTATTCTAGTTTGGGGAAAATCTAACCAATCTCCAAGTCAGAAACCTATTTTAGATTCCTCTTCTCTTTACAAAAGCCTTCTGACTTTACGTCCTACATACGTCTCAAGTTCACCTTGTCCTTCCATTCCTACTATCATTCTTCAGTAACTCAACAAAAAATTTAGTTTAAGCCTTCAGCAACTGTTGCTTAACCTATTGCAACAGCCTCAGAATTGGTCTCTCTGCTTCTGAGTTAACTGGCCAAATCAATCTAATATACTAGGAGTCAGTAAACTTTTTCTATAAAGGGCCAGATAATAAATATTTTTGGTTTTGTGAGCCACACAATCTCTGTTACTCAATACTGCTGTTGTTATACAAAAGTAGCCATAATGACAATATGGATGTATAACAATAAAACTATAAAAACAGGCGGTAGGCCTGGGCCATAATTTACCAACTCCTATAAAATACTATGATCAAAAGTGCTCTTAATATAAATTATATCATGTATCTCCCCTTCTTAAAACCTTCAGCAATTGCTGGGTTCCTCTAGTTTACCTCTATATCTTATATATACTTCTAGTGTTATACTCATATTATAATGTTATTTGCTTCTATTATATCTTTCTCTTCTATCAGAGAGAGAATGCTCTAAATGTAGAAACAACGTGGCTTAAAAATGTTACTGAGTTAACTATGTACTAAGTAAGGATTGTGCAAAGGGCTTTACATATATTATCTTACTTAGTACTTTAAAAAAACCTTAGAGGAAACTAGTGTTATCTGCATTTACAAATAAGAAAACAGATACTCAGCAATTGAGAGTCAAAATTCAGGTCAGACTCCAAAGCTAAATTTTTTATTCTATATAAATTCCATTATATACAAAATATCAAAAAGAACTTCTGAGGATAATTTAGCCAGAAGTACATGTTGAGTATCCCTAATCTGAAAATCTGAAATCCAAAAATTTTGAGTGTTGACATGATGCTCAAAGGAAATGCTCATTGGAGCATTACAGATTTTGGATTTTCAGATTAGGGATGCTCAACTGATAAGTATAATGCAAATATTCCAAAAGGTTAAAAAATCCAAAATCTTTAACACTTCTGGTCCCATGCATTTCAGATAAGGAATACTGAATTTGCATAAAAGGAATGTCAACATATAATATTAGTAATTGTGCATGTGAAGTTATTTCTTTAATTAATAATGAACTTGTGCTATACATACATGGTTAAACAACTACGAAGTAAGACTACTCTCCTTCTCCAACATTTCCACCCATGGCCTCAAGTTATATACCTTGAGAGAGAGAACCCAGGCAACAATATTGTCCTGAAGAGAATTCATGTTACCTTCTGTTACTGGCTGGAGTTTAGAAGATCGTTCTGAGTCAGGAGAGTGCAGAGGTTCAGGCTCTTTCAGACTTTCCAAATGCATAAAAGGATCATAATCTACAGATGCCAAATCAGAGAGGCTCATGGGAAAATACCTTGGATTGCTAAAACACTGAGCTCCATAAACACACCCATGTAAAACCTGAAAATACAGGGGAAAAGAAAACACCCAGTTTTACTTAAAAAAAAAAAAAAAAGATAAATAAATAAAAGTTAAAGGAACATAAAAATCAACCGGTAACACAAGAGCTTCGCAAATATTTTAAATATTTTAAAACATTAGGCCGGCGTGGTGGCTCATGCCTGTAATCCCAGTGTTTTGGGAGGCCGAGTCGGGTGGATCACCTGAGATCAGGAGTTCCAGACCAGCCTGGCCAACGTGGCGAAACCCTGCGTCTACTAAAAATACAAAAATTAGCCAGGTGTGGTGGTGGGTGCCTGTAATCCCAGCTACTCAGGAGACTGAGGCAAGAGAATTGCTTGAACCCAAGAGACAGAGGTTGCAGTGAGCCGAGATTGAGCCATTGCACTCCAGCCTGGGTGACAAGAGCGAAACTCCGTTTCAAAAAAAGAAAAAAAAAAAAAATCAAGGTAAAATTCAATACCTCTTACAAAGAATGACTAAAATTTAATTATACTCATATGTAACAATGATCTAATTCCTCTCAAAATTTTGCAGTGAAACAACAGTGTCTTGTAGGAAGTACATTTAAATTACCCTTAGGCATTGTAAGCTAAATCTGTGTCCTTAGAAATTTTCTAGCTCTAAAAGAATAAAAATGTTATACTGAGAAATGTTATTTCTCTAGGTTTTAAAAACTCTTGGTTACCAAATAAATAATAAAACAAGGAAGTTTACCTTATAAATGCAATTGAGAACAGATTTTTCTGTTTTATCACTTTCTGCTCCCGTAGCATGAAATGGTTGGAGCAGTGTCTTTAGAGGTAAGGCCATGATCCAGTCCAGAAGGCAGAGAAGTAAAGATACTACCAACTGTAACAATAGGATAATTATAATTGCACATTCATAAAATATACGCTTCTTAAAAATTCGTTTTCTTATTCTTGAGTTTCCAAAATTTGTTTCTGGAATCATCAACCCTAAGTTCCACTATTAATATTTACCTAGATCTAACTGATTTTAAGATATTGTATATGAACATTATTGTGGGTTTCTCTTTCATATGTCAGGGCAAGCATAATGAAACAGTAAGTATAATAAAAACAGAAATGTTAAAATTAATATAAAAACAGCAAGCTTAAACATATCAATTAACTATACTTACTTCATTGCTCAAGGAATGGAACACAAATGGAAGTCCATATATATTATAATCACTTCCACTTTCCTTTTCTAACTTAACAACATCTCACTGAATATCCTGCCAGTAAGACTACCTTAAGTACTTTTTGAAATTGTTACTCATTTTACTAAATGAATCTACTGAACACGTTTTTTTTTTTTTTTTTTTTTTTTTTAAGAGACGGAGTCTTGCTATATTGCCCAGGCTGGCCTTGAACTCTTGGGCTCAGGCAATGTTCCAGCCTCTGACTTCCAAACAGCTGGGACTATAGGTGCACACCATCGTGCCTGGATGGACACTTTTAAACTAATGAATGCTATAAACAGGGCACTTTTTATACAAAATGAGGAATAAAATAGCAGAATTCATTGTACTAAAGCATCACAAATAGTATCATGAAACTGACAATGAAATAGCAACAAGAGACCTGCTAATCTTTAAAGACAAACTCTCCAACTCAAGTAATTCTGGTCTACATTTCCTAACATATCTTCCAAAAAAAATAAATAAATAAAATAAGGAACAATAAGAAGGTCCAATAAAACCTCACGAAACCAACAGCTTCTGTATTATCAGAAGACAAAGAACATTCAAACTCCAAATTATCTATTTTTTTAATTTTTATTTTTGAGACAGTATTGCTCTGTCACCGAGGCTGGAGTGCAGTGGCGTGATCTCAGCTCACCGCAACCTTCACTTCCTGGGTTCAAGTGATTCTTGTGCCTCAGCCACCTAAGTAACTGGGATTATAGGCATGTGCCACTGTGCCCGGCTAAGTTTTATATTTTTATGAGAGATGAGGTTTTGCCATGTTGGCCAGGCTGGTCTCAAACTCCCAGCCTAAATTGATCTGTCTGCCTTGGCCTCTCAAAGTGCTCAGATTACAGGCATGAGCCACTGCACTGAGCCTCAGATTATATGAGAAAAATATGAAGCAAATCCCAGCACCTTTCTCCTATTCTCCCATTGCAGGTTTTCATGAAAAGCAAGGGTAGTTTGGGAAAAACTGAAAGAGAGAAGATGGGAACTTGCTGTGAAACTAAGACTGATCTAAAAGCCTGCCAGAAAGAAAAAGTCCACCTTAAGTGTGAGAATATTTAAAAAGTTTACTGGTAGATCAGAGTAGTGAGTAAAAAGAAAGGATGCAGAAATACACACAGGAAAGGTAATGCTTAGGGGGAGAGACAAACAAACCCAGACGCGAAGACTATGATAAATACCTAACTCTTCAATGCCCACACACCGATGAACATCGACAAACATCAAGACCATCCAGGAAAACATGACCTCACCAAATGAATTAAATAAGGCACCAATGACCAATCCCAGAGACAGAGATGTGACCTTTCTGACAGGGAATTCAAAACAGAGAACAAATTCAGCATCCTATCAGATAAATTTAACAAAGAGATTGAAATAATTAAAAAGAACCAAGTAAAAATTCTGGAGCTGAAAAATGCAACTAGTATACTGAAGAATGCATCAGAGTTCTTTAATGGCAAAATGGATCATGCAGAAGAAACAATTAGTGAGGCTGAAGACGAGCTATTTGAAAATACACAGAGGAGACAAAAGAAAAAAGAAGAAAAACAGAATAAAACACACCTATAAGAACTAGAAAAAAAAGCATCAAAAGGGTAAATCTAGAGTTATTGGCCTTAAAGAGGAGATAGACTGTGACATAAAGTTTATTAAGAGAGATAAAATCATAGAACTTCCCAAACCCAGAGAAAGATATGAACACTCAAGTACGAGTAGGTTATAGAACACTAAGCAGATTTAATCCAAATATGACTACCTTAAGACATTTAATAATCAAACTCTCAAAGGTCAAGGATAAAAGAAGGATTATAAAAGTAGCAAGACAAAAGAAACAAGTAACATACAATGGAGCTCCAATACATTTGGAAGCAGACTTCTCAGTAGAAATCTTACAGGCCAGGAGAGAATGGCATGACATATTTAAAGTGCTAAAGGAAAAAAAAACCTTATTCTAAAATGATACATCTGGTGAAAATATCCTTTGAACATGGAGAAGAAATACAGACTGTCCCAGACAAACAAAAGCTGAGGGATTTCAAACACCAGATCTGTCCCACAAGAAATGCTAAAGGGATTTCTTCAGTCTGAAAGAAAAGAATGTTAATGAGCAGTAAGAAATTATCTGAAGGTCCAAAACCCACTGGTGATAGTAAGTAAACAGAAAACCACAGAATATTATAACGCTGTAATTGTAGTGTGTAAACTACTCATATTGAAGTAGAAAGATGAAAAGATGAACCAAACAAAAATAATAACAACAATTTTTCAAGACATGGACAGCACAATAAGATATAAATAGAAAGAATAAAAAGTTACAAAGCAGGGGGATGAAGTTAACATGTAGAGTTGTTATTTTCTTTTTGCTTGTTTGTTTATGCAGTCAGTGTCAAGTTGTCATTAGTTTAAAATAATGGGTTATAAGATATTACTTGCAAGCCTTATGGTAACCTCCAATATAAACACATACAATGGATACACAAAAAATAAAAAGCAAGAAACAAAACCATACTACCAGAGAAAATCACTTTCACTAAAAGGAAAACAGGAAGGAAGGAAAGAAGGATGACAAGCCTGAAAAACAGCAAGAAAATAAATAACAAAGTGGGAGGAGTAAGTACCTACTTATCAATAATATCACTGAGGCTGGGCATGGTGGTTCACACCTGTAATCCCAACACTCTGGGAGGCTGAGGTAAGCAGATCACCTGAGGTCTGGAGTTTGAGACCAGCCTGGCCTGCATGGTGAAATCCTAAGACTATTAAAAAACTAAAAATTAGCCAGGTGTGGTGGTGTGTGCTTATAGTCCCAGCTAGTTGGAAGGCTGAGACAAGAGAATCGTTTGAACCCAGGAGGTAGAGGCTGAAGTGAGCTGAGATTGTGCCACTGCACTCCAGCTGGAGTGACAGAGTTAGACTCCATCTCAAAAAAA